CAGCAGGGCCCAGAGGGAAGTCCCCGGAACAGCACCCTGAAAGGGGAAAACACAGTATCACCACACAGGGCCTGCCAACCTGAGCAGCCTCCAAGAGAAAGGCCTGGCCTTGTCTGTCTTCCACATTCTAAAGTCCAGTCTGCACAAAGTGGGTGCATCTGTCTCAGAATCCACTCCTCTTCTTTTGAAGGTGGTGGTGGGGGACAGCTGAGAGTACAGTGATTCTCTGTGTGGGAATCAAGCCCTTTCCCCACAGGAATCAAAACCCAGAGGGAAGTTGGGAGGGAGGGATCTCCACCTCCGACTTCTCAGTCTTATCTATCCTTATTTCTGGATGAAGTCAAAGAAATCACAGCCTGCTAGACCTAAAGCAGGGCCCTCTCTCTCACACTGCCCAGGATCTGTACCCATGGGTCCTTCTATAGTCATCCTGGCACTGCTGTTCCTGGATTTCTGAGGTGGCAACTATCTGTGTGGAACTGGCTCTTGGCTTTCTCCCTCTGGATTGGAGGGTACTGTTCTGCTGGAGTGGAGGAGTCCACAGAGCTCATTCCTCTCCAGTGTCTGGGGCCAACCCTTCAGCTTCTTCCTTAGGCTATGGCTGGCTTTGGTTTTCCATGGTTATAAGTGAGGAAGGGAAGTCCACAAGGGCTCACAGTGGTATAAACACTCAAACTCATGGCCCTGGAGTTACCAGCCTGATACTTAGCCTGCCATCAAGACTCTGAGAGGTGCTACATGTTTTCTTTTATTCTTTTTAAAGGCTGTTTGAAGTTTACAATTTTCTACTCGATAAAAGGCAAACAGAGCTATTAGGGGAGTGAAGAAGACATGTATGTGACTTGATAGCAAAGGGTGTGGTTCTTGTCTTCATTTTTGGAGTTTTGTTTTCTTTCTTGTTTTTATAAAAAGAATGTGACTGCTTCACTTATTGAGGACTGTCTAGTCTAAGGAGAAGAACGGGAAATGGAGGACAAGATGGGCTCTGCCTCCTAGTGTATTTAGAAGTGTGTGTGTGTGTGTGTGTGTGTGTGTGTGTGTGTGTGTGGCGGGAAGGCGGGAAGGGTCCCTGCCACTTAAGAGGGGTTTTTGCCAGGCTTGATGCCTAGTCACATCTTCATGGCTTCTGAGCCAGGTTACAACAGATGGTGCTGCAGGTGGTCTGGGGTGATTCTGAGTGCCCTGGAGATTCCAATACAACGGTCCTAGATGGGAGAATGAAGTTCTTAAAGAAGTTGCCCCCCAGAGGCCTGGATCAGCCCAGGGAAGACTTGGATGGGCATCTGCGTGTGCTGTAGTGGAAGTGAAAAAATACGGATGCTTTAGATAGTAATTATGCACGGCCCTGAGGGAGATGCTGGAGTGGGTGGCAGCCATTTTTCTGATGTGGCTTGAGGGAGGGGTGCCCGGCCACAGGACCCACTGCAGAGGAGAACACAGTTGGATACCCACCCCCCCAAGAATGCTTGAGGACTTAAAGCTGTGCTGCATCTTGACAGACTAGAGTCCATGAGAGAGGGAGGAAAGGCATCACGTCTCCAGCCTGTAGGGTCTGCTCTCTCATTTGCCATTTAATAAACAGTCAATAAGTACCCACTCTCCGCCAAACACGGCTGGGCACTGAGAATCCAGAAGTGAATAAGGCAGTCTCTACCCTCAGAAGCCTGAAGTTTAGAGGGGGAGACATAAATAGACACACCACTGCAGCACAGGTAAGAGGTGTGACAATCAAAGTATGTACAAGGTGCCATGGGAGCCCTGAGGCACAGCCCCACCAAGGAAGCCTGGGTGAGACACAGGGACTGGAGGTCTGAGCTTCTGGGCTCTGCCTGACTCAAAAGCCACCCCATCTGCTGCCCTGTGTGGGAAAAGGACCAGCAAGGAATGAGGTGGCTGCTGCAGGCAGCACTGATAATGTTCCTGTCAACGTATGCCCAAGGCTTATAAAGCATGTACCATCCCACTATCTTCCTTCTGCAGAGAGCTGTCCAATACAGGGAGGTGAGGAAAGTCAGCTATTTCTTAACTGAAAGAATGAAATGCAACTTTTGGGATCTTGGGACAACTACTCCAGGCCATGGTATCCCAATGATCGGTAACCCAGCAGCATGATTCTGGGGAGAAAATCAGAACTCCCACACAAAAGGGGAAATGAGATTTTAAACATGAACAGGAAGAATTGGTCCTCATCCCAAAGGAGCCAGTAGCCTTCTGAGTCAGACTCCAAATGCCCCAGGGGTCAAGGCACCTAGAGCAGCAGCAGAGATAGCCACTGACACCACCGCTACCACCGCCACCACCGAGTGTGAGCCCAGACGATGCTGGCTACTTTCCCAATGTGTTCCAGGCCGACACAAACACAACCCGTACACAGCTCCCCAGCAGCTGGCCAGAAGTGCAGCACTCTGCCTGGAAAAGGAGTGGACTGACAGTCCCAACCATGGCTGCCTCCTGGGCAGAAGAGGAGAATTTGATTAGGATGGTAGAAGCCTGCAAAAAAGAAAACACAGTACCCAGTCCCTGAAGCGGGGGATGGGAAGAAAGACGACCCCTGATCTGCGGAAGCAGCCCTTCATCTCCAGCTGCACTTGTGTGGAATGTAACTCTGTGGCTCTGGGCCTGGGGAAGAAGGGACACTCAGGAACACCCCAAAAGTACTGTCCCCTGGGAAGGTCAATGTCCCAGGGACACCAGGACATAGAGAGATGCATCCTTAGATCCAGCCCCAGGTCTTGAAGAAAGAAAACAGTCCCCAAAGTGATGCATTCATCTTTAAACAGTTCACAGAGGCAGAAAATTTTCTCCTTTACAGAAGAAAGATTAAGGTCAGAGAGACAAATATATTGGCTTAGGGTCACACAGTAAGTTGGCGCCAGAAAGAAACTGGGCCTTTTGTCCTTCACTGTGCTATTTCTAGAGACTGACTTTTTATTAGTCTAAAGTAGGGCCAAGAAGGGACTCTTCTCTAATTTGAGGTGGTGCCAGCTGGTTAGCCAGGTCCTCTGACCTTGAATGAGGCATTTTTACCAAAGTAAATGGGTCTATGGAGCCAAACTCTCTCCCTGGCTGCAACCTCCCAAAGTCATTTGTCTGGTGAAAGGAGGGTGGGGTGGAGTGAGGAAGTCCAAGAAACCGACCATGAACACAAGAGTAACAGATGCACCCAGCTGTTGTTGCTGGGGAGCATAGATAAGGTTGAGGTGCCAAAGGCTCCAAAGGAGATGCAGAGTCTTGGCTGATAGAGGAAGTCAAAATGAGGCCCTGAGGTCCCTCGGATGCTAGTGCTGGCTCTGAGGATGGCATGTCATCCTCCAGGCCTGGCGCACTCAGTGAGCACGCAGGAGGGTTCACTGGGACTTGCCCTTAGGTGGGGAGTTCCCCTTAGGACATCCCCCAGCCCTGGCAGAATGGTGGTGAGATTTTCTTCTGCCCTTCCCTAACCTCCAGTTAAAGCAGAACCGAGATCATGGGAACTTGGGTTGACTGGTTAACTACTAATACTGCTAACACCCTAGCTACAGTAGCAGCCATCTCAGCCAAGGACTTCCCCTAGAGGCACTGTGGTTCAATAGAAAAATCACCAGATCAAGCCTACTAACCAGCTGTTGGATCTTAGAACATTTAACATCTCTGTGCTTTAGCTTTCTCATATATAAAATGAGAGTGTTGGACAAGATGTCTTCCAAAATTTTTTTTCCATTTCTAAAACTGAGAATTTGTTAGGAGCCCAAACTTCATTTTTCTCAGTACAACGGCTGAGAGTGAGCTGTCGTCACCATCCTCTGGGATTTCTCTCATTTGTCCCAATAGGCTGGCACTTATGTACTTTGTGTCTGGTCTTCATACCATGGCCCCTGTGAAACCTTTCCAACAACTGGCTTAGATGCCTGGTCTGCTCTCTCTCCTAGGAAACATATTTTAGACTCATGATTCCTCTCTCCCGCAAGTCTGAACTTTAGGTCTCAGGCAGAGGTAGGCAAGGATAATGAGCTCCTAGAGGAGTAGCCCTGGTGTGGTTGGAGCTGGAAGAGAAATGGTGGGGTGGGGGAAGGACCTCCCTATGTTCTCAAACCCAGAAAGGCCCAGGACTCTCTAGACACAAAATAAGATTGAGCTAGCATATCATGATCCGGTATTTCTGCCATCCCTGATCATAAGGGGTTTCATTTTATGGAGGAGGAAACTACCGCCTACAGAGGTGAACACATTGCCCAGGTTAGTCAAGTCGACAATTAGCAGCAGAATGGAGATGACAACCCACATAGCCCCAGTTCAATCTTTTTTCTACTTCTCTACCCCCAAGCAGAAGATTCTGAAAAGACCCCTGGCTTTCCAGACCAACATAGGGTCCTATTTAAAGAAGCTGCAGACTGCCAGGCTCCAGGAGATGGAGTCTGGTCCTGAGAAAGGTGGGGCAAAGTTGGGGACAGTGCTGGGAAAGACATCCACACCTGGGGGCCATTCCTGTCCCTTTCTCAGCCTTTGGGGGGAAGGGGCACCAGAGGTTGCAAAAGGAAGAAAGGAAGCCCTTTAACCCATCCTCTCTGAGGTACGGGGGAGGGAAGGTATGGGTTTTCCCCCTTCCTCTTTTTTCTTTGCCAGCAGGGCCTCACAGCCCCCAGGCCTGAAAGTCCCCCAATCACGAATGTACCAGTGGGGTCTGCTTTGGGTCAACAGGAAAACCCGCTCCTCCCGCTCAAACCCACCTTTTTGTCCTGACACAGACCCTCATCTGATACCCAGAGAATACCCATAAGTCTTTACTGAATCCCTTGCATACCCTCCCCCCATGCCCTCACCAGACACGGCCCCACTGTGGTGTCCCTCCCCAGGATAAATTACCCCAAAGTGCCGTCAGCACAGAAAACTAGGCAGTGCTGCTCACCACTCTCGCCTTGAACCCAGCATCCCGCGACGCCCCCTCCTTAGCTGCGGGCAGCCCACTCTACCCTCGGGGGGTGCCCTGCAGCCCAGGTGCCCCCACGGTCCACAAGACTCACCCAGAAGAGCATGTTGAAGAAGAAGAGCAGGTATTTCACCAGCGGGCTGACGAAGGAGAACTCCTCCCCGTAGGCGGCCGGCGCCGGGGGTCTCCGGGCCATGGTCCCGCCGCCACCGCCCCTGGGGGCCTATCTCCCCGCGGCTGCCGGCCCACCTGCGCGCTCCGCGCCCGGGGGCATGAGCCGCGCCACCGCCGTAGCCCGAGCAGCGGGCGAGCTGCGCCGCAGCGGGAGGCGCCCCAGCCGCGCGTCCGGGAGAAGCGCGGGCAGGGAAACGGCGCCGCCACCGGAGCCGCCGGGAGTCGCCGTAGCCGCCGCGGGCAGCTTGAGCGCGGAGACTCCGCGGCGGCCAGAGGACCAGCCCGGCCCGCCCGGTTCCCAGGAAACCGAGCCCGCCCCCGGCCGCCCATTGGCGCGGCTGCCGAAGCCTGACTTCTCATTGGCCGGTCACTGATGTCACTAAGTGTCCAGCCATCCCTCTCCTGCGAGAGGCGGGGGAGACACCTGTTCCGTGAGGGACAACTTGTTTAAGGGTCAGCGGTTCTGCCGCCTCCCCCGAGAAGGAAAGCATCCAGGCTGCAGCTGCTCAAGGGAAAAAGGATGAGAAGGAATGCACACTGCATCACACAGCCACGTCCTCTACCCAGTTGCTGTGTACATATGCAAACACACGTCAAAATCAACAAGTACGTACGCCGTGTGTTGAGCAATGCACCGAAAGCTGTGGGAATACAAGAGAATAGAGATAATTCCCAGAGGGATGACAATAAAATCAAGGAGACAAAACTAACCTACACATAATAATTAGAGAATATTTAAGAGTAGCTGCAATCCTGTTTAGTAACTATATATTTTAAATGCTTATTTCAAAACCTCTCTAACCCAATAGTGGAAATTTGAAAATATGACCAACAATCCTGCCATCCTAATTCATTACTGTTTCAATCTCCACTCCCTATTTCCTTAGAGTCTTTGTCTACACTCAGACACTGTTTTTAACACGTTGATCCCACATATGTACACAGGTTGAGTGCAGCGCAGGTGGTGGACACCGTGCTGGCTTCCATAAGTAATACAAACATGAATACTATAGACTGAATGTTTGTATCCTCCCTTAAAAAAAAATCATATGTTGAAATCCCCCAAGGTGATGGTATTAGGAGATGGGGCTTTGGGGAGGTGCTTAGGTCATGAGAATGGAGCCCCCATGAGTGGGATTAGTGTCCTTATAAAAGAGACCCCTATAGAACTCCCTAGCCCCTTCCACCATGGGAGGACACAGCAAAAAGACAGCTGCCTATGAACCAGGAAGGGGGCTCTCACCAGACACCGAATCTGTGAGCACCTTGGTCTTGGACTTCCTAGCCTCTAGAACTATGAGAAATAAATATCTGTTGTTTATAAGCCACCCAGTTTATCATACTTTTGTTATAGCAGCCTGAATGGACTAAGCATCAGGGAGGAACCTGATTCCACCCTCATCGGCTGCATGACCTGGGCAAGCTACTTAATCCTCCTGAGACTCTGTTTCCCTAACGTTAAATGGGGAGAGTCCTGGCCTAACAATGCTGATGTGAGAATTAAATGAGATAATGCATGCAAACCACTTAGCACAGGTTGGCCCATAGAAGGGCTCACTAAATGCAGTATTTTAACAGAATTTAGAATCCAGTAGGGAAATATAACTGCAAAAATAACTATAACACATTTGGTGGAGGGTAAGTGAAGATATCATGGCAGGTGAAATTAGGGGAGGATGAGATTTAGAATAGCAGAGATGAAGGGGTGATCCAGTGGACAAAACGGGTGATCCAAAGCCTGGAGATGCAAAAGGACACTGTGTGTTTAGTGACAAATAGGCAGACTGGTTTGTCTGGAGCATAGGGTATCCTTAATACAGCAGTGGCAGATAACGCTGACTGAGGTCCATACAAGTGGAACTGAGTTAAAATCGTGGAAGGACTTGAATATCAGATTGGGGAGTTAGTGCTTAATTGATTTGGAAATAAGAGTTTTGAAGAAGGGAATGATGTAAGACCTGCTTTTTTTCAGTTAGAGTGGGAAAGAGGCTGCAGAGAGGAAGATTTGTTAGGAGACCACTGTTAATAGATAATCAGAAATTAGGATTTGATTTAGAGGTAATGAATAGAATTGATAGGAAAGGATATGAGTGAAGCCACTGGGAAGATAGAATCTCCAGGGCCAGCTATGGTAGGGGGTAGGGGTGACAGGAGCACCAAGGGTAGGGGTTGAGGAAGTGAGCCAAGGCCAGCTTGCTGGGAGATGGCCATTAACAGGTTAGCTGACCACTTGGAGGTCAGTTTTTAGTATGAAGGGGATGGGGTGGCCAGAAGCCACTTTACAAGAGGTTGAGGGTAAGCACAGGGTGGGTGCCCATTTTGAGATGTTAGAGGATTGAGGACTGAGAAAAAGACCAAGCTGCTAAATACTTCTATTAGGTGACCATCTAGAGATCAGTTTCAGTACAGACAGCAAGAAGAAGGCAAGGAGTCAAAGAGGGAATGGGGGGTGAAATGGAAGCTGTGGATGAAGACTGGACACCTCTATCTAGAAGTTTGAAGGTTATGGGTTCTTTAAGGGACCTTAGAATGAAGGGAAAGTTCTCTTTTAGCATACAAGAGATGTGACATGTTTGTAGGCAAAACAAGCCAGTAAAAAGGGATTGAGATGGATAATGGGTGGGACAAGGTTTGGGAGTAGAGATGGGATCAGGAGTCAATGGGATGACCACAATACCCATCACGTGGAAGTCAAGGATGGTGCCCATACAGTAGGAAGTCATGCAGCTGTAGAACAAAGAATGAGGAAATTCTCCGTGTACTGAGTTGGAACGATCTCCAAGATAAATTATTAAGTGAAAAAAATAAAGTGAGGAACAGTGTGTATAGTGTATCACATTCTGGTTACAAAAAAGAGAGACAAGGGGCCAGCCCGGTGGTATAGTGGTTAAGTTTGCACATTCCGCTTCAGCAGCCCAGGGTTTTTGGGTTCAGATCCCGGGTGCAGACCTACACTCTGCTCCTCAAGCCATGCTGTGGCAGTATCCCATATACAAAATAGAGGAAGATGGACACAGATGTTAGCTCAGAGACAATCTTCCTCAAGCAAAAAGAGGAAGGTTGGTAACAGATGTTAGCTTAGGGCCAATCTTCCTCATCAAAAAAAAAAAAGAGAGAGAGAGACAAAAATAAGAAATGACATTTGCAGGGGCCGGCCCAGTGGCGTAGCAGTTAAGTGCGCGTGCTCTGCTGCGGGGGCCCGGGGTTCGCAGGTTCAGATCCCGGGCACGCAGCGACACACCACTTGTCAAACTATGCTGTGGCGGTGTCCCATATAAAGTAGAGGAAGACGGGCATGGATGTTAGCCCAGGGCCAATCTTCCTCAGCAAAAAGAGGAGGATTGGCAACAGATGTTAGCTCAGGGCTGATCTTCCCCACAAAAAAAAAAAAAAAAAAAGAAATGACATTTGTATTTGCTTGCATCTACCTAAATAAACTCTGGAAATATACAAAAGACACTGAGAAAGGAGGTTACGTCCTGGAGTGCTCATGAGAATTAAGAAGCATGGAGAGAGACTTTTCACTGTGTGTCATTTTATTTTTTCTAATTTGTGAAGCATGGAGTGTATTAACTATTCAAAGCATTAAATTGAAAAAAAAAAAATACATCCTTATTGTGGAATGCTATATAGCCACTGAAAATAATGTAGAAAATGTAGGTACTGACTTGGGAAAAGGCTCATGATATAGAAAGTGCAAAAAGCAGATTGTAGAATAAAGTATATAAAATAGCCAATAACCAGGAAATGGTTTCGATTTATTTTAGGTCCTTGAAAGGCATTTTAATCCTTTGGAATATATGATATGGCCATTTAAAATAGGAATCATAAGGATTATGTAATAACATGTAAAATCTTAACAATATGAGTGAAAAATTCTAAACAGCATATTCACAGTATGAAATATGTATAAATATCAACAGAAATGAACCAAAGAAAATGTAAAAGTAAAATCAGTTGCATTGATGTGGCAGGATGTGTAGCAGTTTCTAACTTTAAAATTACATTTAATATTATTATGTGTGATTATGAAAAGAATTAAAATATTTGAACGATATTTCTGCAAAGCAGAAAAAAAAGAAGTCATGTGGCTGTAGTTAACTTTGGCAAGAAGGTGTGTGAAGAAAGGAACAGTGACAAGGAGGAGAGAAGGTGTGGATTGGGAGCTTTAGGAAGGAGGAGTTTGAAGTAGAGCAGGGTAGGAAACCAGACACAAGATGGTTTAGCAGAAGTGATAGCCCAGTGAGGGTGGCTGAGAACTGCCGTGATCCCAATTAGCCATTTTAAAATTTTTTTTTAATTTTTATTTATTTATTTTTCCCTCAAAGCCCCAGTAGATAGTTGTATGTCACAGCTGCACATCCTTCTAGTTGCTGTATGTGGGACGTGGCCTCAGCATGGCTGGAGAAGCGGTGCGTCGGTGCGCACCCGGGATCCGAACTCGGGCCGCCAGTAGCGGAGCATGCCCACTTAACTGCTAAGCCACGGGGTGGGCCCCAATTAGCCATTTTTTAAATTTCCTCAAAAAAAATACATGGTAGCCTGGAGAGCCCATTGTGAGAACTACCAATGCTAGGAACTGCAGAGAGGCAAGTAAGTGATCTGGGACGGTTTGAAATGCACCATTGTAAAGCTCATCTGTGGCAATTAGGATTGAAAAAGAATTAACTGCTGGTATGAATCTAGGAGAATTAGACAATATGTCTGCAAACCTCTGTGTAGTGTTTAAAAACTTTTTTTGTATTTTAATTTTTTATTGATATATAGCACACCTACAAAATGCATCATTCTGTTTTATTTATGTGCTCTTCTTTCTACCTTTTGTATATGTTCTTTTAAAATCTGAGATCAAGGGCTGGCCCGGTGGCGTAGGGGTTAAGTGCTCGCATTCCAGTTTGGTGGCCTGGGGTTCTCCGGTTGGGATCCTGGGCACAGACCTGCTCACGCTCATCAAGACATGCTGAGGCGGCTTCCCACATAGACAAGCTACAACTATGTGGACTCTACAACTACGTACTGGGGCTTTGGGGAGAAAAAAGAAAAAAAAAAGAGGAGGCTTGATTGACAACAGATGTTTGCGCAGGGCCAATCTTCCTCAAAAAAAAAGAATTAAAATCTGAGATCAACACGGTATGTCCAGAGTAATCACAGTTTTGTAAAATAAAAAGATTTATATATGTAAGTGTATAGAAGGAAATGTATCATAATATAAATAGTGATTATCTTGCATGGTAGGATAATATTTGCATTTTATTCATGTTATTTTTCTTTTTCCCCAACTTT